GATGAAACTCTAGATACTGAAACAAGGGCTGTTGAAAAATCTCTTTCTTAGAAAATTATGAACTGAGCTAAAATTTGCCCGCCTATAATTCTTCTCATTGACCTGATGCCTGCCTCGGCAGCCGTGCAACAAATGGACCTCACTTCTGCGTGCCAGCCCTTCTTGAAGACTTATAGTACATCCTCCTTCATCTTCTGTCATGCAGACTAAATATGAGAGGTCACAGGACAGGGTTTCCAGACCCCTCACCATAATGGTCCCCTTCCCCAGGGCAATCTCAATTGTGCAACATCCCTCTTAAAATTTAGTACCCAGATCAAAATGTTTGGGGCTTGGCATGTCTTTGATGCTCCATAAACTTGGAATGAATGAGTGAAGTAGTCCACAATCACCATAGTATACCAGAAGTATTGTCTTCCTTTCTCTACATCTTGTACTTTTATTAATGCAGCCTGAGCTCATATTAGCTCTTCCAAGTGAGATTTCCATGTGCCTGGTGGCTTTGGTGTATAGAAGTGTCCCCTGGGGAACAAGCCTGTAGGACCTGTTGGCTGATACCCACCTGCCTTGGGGGTTCTGACAAAGAACAGAAAAGGTGAAATGAGAAATCAAACCCTCTAATCATGCAGCAAAATAAGCTTGCCAGTGACAGACTCAAAAGGTCCTGATTCCCTTAATAAATCTGAACTGTGGATCATTAAGTGTAGCCATTAGTGATGGCCAAGAAATATTTCTGATACTCTTCCCAGGTACATGATAGAAATGTACTTTCTTGGCCCCTTAAAGTGGCCATTTGACTTGCTTCAGCCAATGAAATGTGAAAGAGCAGTGCACAAGTCACCAAGTTCCCCTCTTCTTGCCTTTGCCAATCATGGAAGCACGGAGATGGAGCTTCCCTCAGTAAAGATGATGGAGCAGAATCCCTCAGGGGACCTGTGACGGACATGGAGCACAAGCGAGAAATAAACCTTAATTGTTTCACATCACTGAGATTGTTTGTTGTTGTTACCACAGCAGACCCTAGCCTATCCTGTATTACTGACACAGAAACTAGAATGCTCAGAGCTCATGCCCTCTGGATCCACTGATCATAGCTTTCACATTATTTCTCTTCTCCCTGCTTCCAATATGTAAGGCGGGAAATCATCTTTTGATGGGCATGCACCTGTTACACCAAGCAGCTTTGGTAAACCCCACCTGCCAACACTGGAGGAGAGGTGTTACCTGTTCACACAGTAATGCTCTAAAGGAAGCTACCATGGGGACCTGTTTGTTTTTCTTCCCATACAAGAAGGAGCCCACAATTATTTGACTAAAATCCATCTAAGATTGTCACCACGGCCCAGAGAATGACAGGTATCTGGAGGAGATTTAAGGATGAAAGGAAGAATCTGGGAGTAATTTAGGAGGGATTAGCAAGTTGTTCAGTGGTTCTTAAACTTTTACCTGAATCAGAAGCACCTGAAGGCCTGCTAAAATACAGGTTATGGAGTGCTACCTCCAGAGACTCTGATTTAGTAGGTTTGGAGTGGCGCTCAAGAATTTGCATCTCTAACTAGTTCGCAGGTGATGCTGGTGGAGAGACCACCCTGAAAACCACTGCTCTGGAAGGATTCAATTCAATTCAAGAAGCCAGAGTTGGCGGGGGTGGGGGGGGGGAACCTAAGTGGCTTAGTTAAGCATCTGACTCTTGATATTGGCTCACGTCATGATCCCAGTGTCATGGGATCAAGCCCTGCACTGGGCTCCACACTGGCAGTGTGGAGCCTGCTTAGGATTCTCTCTCTCCCTCTCTTTCTGCCCCTCCCCTGCTCACATGCTCACTCTCTCTCTTTCTCAAAATAAATAAACATTAAAAAAAAAAAAAGAACCCAGAGTGGAGGCTCTGGTGAAAGGAGTCAATGACGCCTTAACAGACACTCTTTCGAGAAGAAAAAGAAAAGAGCCAGTTTTCCTTTTTCCACTCACATTAGTCTGAGAGCTGATGTGTAAAGGACACACAAATGGTCATCTCAGTCTTTTTTCTTCACCACATAACACACTACACAACAAAATTAAGCTCCCCTAAGGGAACAAATCAGGAATCTTATTTGTTGGCATCTTTAAAACTGGGTTTCTGTGAGGTGAAATTGTGCCTCACTCACCCTTGAGAGCTCCACCAGAGGGTAAATCTGGGTGTATTTCAGGAGGAAGCAATTTAGATACTTGGCTGCAACTCCCTCTCCCACCTTATCTCCACACTCCCCTTCATAAACCTCTGCTAAAAGTCAGTCCCTCTTGCCCTCCGACCCCACCAAAGCGCATCACCCTTCCCTCAGCTGTGACTGATGGCACGCACGTGCACACTTATCTACACTTATCTAAATCCTCCCTTCCTCCAATTTAGGACCAGACACCTCAGGAAAGTCTTCCCTTTCTTTCATCCCCAACACAGTCAATCAATCACCAAGTCCGGTCAATTTTACCTCCCAAGTATCTCCAGAATCCATCTGGTGTGCTTCATTTTTCTTTCTAACTCAACTAGTATAGATCCTCCACACTCTACCCCCCCCCCCGTCTTTGCTCAGGTGGGGGCACCTTGACTGGACAACTGAGACAATTTAAACAACATCCCTTCCCAGGATGAAGAGGCTTCCCACAATCCCTAAGCCAGGTTAGAACCCTCTTTTATCAACTCCCATTGAACCCTATGTTTTTTCTACCATGAACATTTATCACATTTGTAAGCTCTTGTTTAATTATCTTCCCTACTCAACCATAAGCTCTTCACAAGCAGGACCACATTTGTCTTGCTTGCCGCTGTAACTGCAGTCTGTCACAGCCTCTGACACAATATAGGCACTTAGTAAGTATTTAATAAGTGTAGGAATCACCACATCGGTTCATAGGAATCCTCGCTTCCTCTCAATGCCTAAAGCACATTGTGCCTGCTTCCAGGAACGTCTGGCCACCCCGACATTGCACCCACCACTTAAGACAAGCAAGCAGTCCTTAGGACATCCAGAAAATGCTATCTATAGAGGGGGAAAGTGACCCTTGAAAAAAATGAGTATCTTTTCCTTGAAAAGTGGATGGAATTGAGATTAGCTACAGAGATATTTTGGGAGGAGAAAAGAGACTACCATCTCAAAAGTGGACAAAATTGTAACAGTGAGGAAAAGGAAGTGGGGGCGGGAGGGGGGCAAGGGTGTTTAGTGATGGGAAGTCTGCATTTCTCCAGAAGCTTTTATTAAAGTTGGTAACTTCCCAAGTTAGGTGTTCTAATGGACTCTCCATCCAGACCTTTAAAAATGACAAGCACCTGTGTCTCTAGGATGCCTAAGGAAGGGGGCTGAGCTGACCTCCCAAGAGCTTCTGACCTTCAGGATTCTATAAACAAACTCATTCTGAATTGGAATGTGGAGAATCCACATTCTGGTTCTGTCTTTACATAGCAGTTCTATCTCAATGCCGGAGACAAGACCATCTTTATCTTCCATCCACTAATAGTATTAATGCTTTCAAAGTCAGACCCCAACTCCAGACTGGCCATCAGGACCCATGGACCACCAGCATCAAAATAATTTAGCAAGTAGGGGTGCCTGGAGTGCTCAGTCGGTTCAGCATCCAACTCTTGATTTCAGTTCAGGTCTTGATCTCTGGGTCATGAGTTCAAGGCCCACATTGGGCTCCCCACTGGGCATGAAGTTTGCTTAAAATAATGATAATAATAATTTAGTAAGTGGCCTCTGACTAGTACCAAGGGTTAGCCCTGACTAAAGAGATCAAACGGGGGTGACATCCTAGCTCTTTCTACTTCCAGTCATGCAACTTTGAGCAAGTGACTTAACTTCTTTGAGTCTTGGCATCTTCATCTTTAAAACGATGATGATGGTCTACTTCTCAGGACTATTGTGTTAAATATGTAAAACCCTCAGCACAGAGTACACATGTAAGGAATGTCATATCATAATTATAGATTTCTAGTTTTATAACTTCTGTAAGATAATGACTCTTAGCTGAAAATACTGAAGGAATTAAATGATGTGTTTGAAATTTGCTTCAAAATAATCCAGGTAGTGAGGGGGAGGCTATAGATGAAATAAATAAAATCAGCCATGTTTTGGAAATTGAAGATGGGAGATAATACTTTCTCTCCTTTTGCATAGGCTTGAAATTTTCCATAACCCAAAGTTTAAAGGTGTAAGTACTGAGGGAGGGAAATGCTGTAAAAATACTGATAATTTAAGATCATAGTTGGTCTAGAGATTGAACAGAAAAATAATATAAAGGGGGGAAGCGAACATCTCTATGAATTTCTCAAACAGTATCATTTTCTTCAAACAGAATGGTCTCAGATGAGCAGAAGGGAACAAAGCCACTTGCATACATTGCTCTTCCTTCATTTTTGGGAGAAGAACACATCTTGCTTGGGCTGTACATGTGTTTTTAAGTAGACAAGCCCTGGGTGGTAGAACCTACCTCAGAGCACCCCGGGGCCCTGCTGAAATAGGACTGAGGAGCAAGAAAGTCCCCATGTTGGAAAAAGCAAGCAGAAAGAACTCCAGATGTTCAGGGACAATGGATGCCACAGCCCTCCTCCCTTCTAAGCCCTGGCTTTGGACTCTTATTTGAGGCGTCTATGGGAGGCTGGTTCAGCTTGGTGTGAGGCTGTATTTAAGGCAACTTCACTCTAGATGAGTGGGTCCTCTCAGAGCACAGTAGTATGTTAGAGGATACTTGATGGGGGAGGGTTCATTCAGGGGGAAAAGAGTTTGTAACAGGCTCTGACAGTACCAATCATGGCACAAGCCCGTATCATCTCCCCACTTCCACATCTTCCCACTTAGAGACGTCCAGAGATTAAAAAACAAAATTCTTGCATTCCACCTCGTATCAACCAACCCACTCCAAGCCCCTCTATCTGGGCGAGAAAATAGTCCAACAAGCTTTGTTTTGAGCAAATGCCTTTAAACTCTCAAAACTCTGCTTGGAAAAGTAGAATATATAGAAGTACTTACTCTTCTTGAAGAATAAATTCGCTATTTTCTGGAGAAAACTGCCCACTCACAGGGTGCCTGAATGCTGTGGTCTGTTGGTTATGGCTAGAGAGAAAGAAAGAGAGATAATGAATGAGAAGTCATGTGAATGGAAAGGATTACATACACAACAACAAGTCAGTAATGTCTGAGGACCCCTGGATCATTACAGATTCCTCCCACATTGAGAGAGTGAGCCTTTCTTTTGAGACGCATTTGATCTGTCAGAATTCCATTGCATTAAAAAAACACGAACTTTTCCAGCTCAGGTGTCAAAGCCCACCTAAGACGCAGGGATTTTAACTCTAGGAAAGTCTTGGCTCCAAGAGAACACTGCATTTTCGAGAGACATTCCCCGAAGTACGTACTCCAACAAACCGAACTGTTGAACAAAACGTTACTTTTAGATGGCACGAGCTAAAACAAGAATGAAGGAAAGCAGACAGTACTTTCAACAGCTTCCCGAAACCATCAACCAGGGAAAGAATTCCAAGAATTAGCCACCCACCCAGAAAAACTATCTTCTTAAAATTCTTCTCCCTAATATAAAATGCCTTCACCTCAATGATAGGATATAAATGCATGGGCATGTCTCTGCAACATGGCCTGCACAATTTTCAACACTGAAGAGTTTCTATCACCCTTTTGAAGTTAGGAGGGATCAGCTTCCACACCAGGCTGACAGTCACAACCAAAGTGTGTAGGTGTTTTGTGTATTCACAAAGGCTGCCTGGTTCTTTGTAAAGGAGGAGGAGCTGGCTCTAGAGTCTGCTGGTTTGCTCAATGAATAAACTAACCCAACGTCCTGCTTTTTCAAAGAATATGATTTACTTTTAAAAGTTTCCCTAATCAAAACATCACTGCTCTTTTAGAAATTTTAGAAATATAAAAAGAAAAAAATGCCATCCATGATCTCACCAACCTAGAGATAAACCTGGCTATCTTCTCCTTCCCTAGTTTTTTTCTATTACAAAATAAATTATGAGTTTGCTGTATTTAGAAATCTGTATCCTGCTTTGCTCACATCCTATTAACATAGAAATTTCCTATGTCCTTAAGACTTCTTCATTTGAAATAGCTGAGTCCAGGTGTCCCCTGCTTTTTGAAAGTTCACCTTATACCACTTCACTTAGGAAAGACCTACACTGTACCTGTTTTCGCTAACAGAAAGAAATATGAGAAGAATTTTTGTTTTTACAAAAAAAAAAAAGCTGAAAAGCAAAAATAGCATTCAGTGTTTGTTTTGCAGGGAGCCCTCACAGAGGCAGCAAACACCCGAGCAGCGAGTGGCACCACCAAGCTCCCTATCTGGGAACTACACTCAGCATCTCAGCATGAAACTGCCACAGCTCTGAACTGTGTCTGTGAGCATCTGTGTTTTATCTCGATTTATTTTGTGCATCTATTAACAAGGTGTGTCCTAAGGTATCAGAAAAGCCTAAAAAGGGAAATTGGGTGGCTCAGTCAGTTAAGCATCCGACTTTGGCTCAGATATGATTTTGTGGTGAGTGAGTTCGAGCCCCAGAGATGAGCTCTGTGCTAACAGCTCAGAACCTGGAGCCTGCTTCACATTCTGTCTCTTTCTCTCTGTCCCTCCCCCACTTGGGTTTTTTCTCCCTCCCTCCTTCTCTCTTTCTCAAAAATGAATAAACATTAAAAGAAAGAAAGAAAGAAAGAAAGAAAGAAAGAAAGAAAGAAAGAAAGAAAGAAAGAAAGAAAGAAAGAAAGAAAAAAGAAAGAAAAGCCTAAGAGGTTATTTTGGGGATCTGGGAATGCTCAAATTTTTTTCCATATAATTTATAGTAGTTGCTGCTTTACTTTACACCATTATGTCTTACAAAAAGTTTCATAGGAGGAAAGTGAAGATACAAAGAAATGGAAAAACATTCCATGCTCATGGATTGGGAGAATAAATATTATTAAAATGTCAATACAACCCAATCTACACATTCAATGCAATCCCAATCAAAATTGCACCAGCA